TCCTGGGCCTCTTCCAGCCAGGGGGAGGTCCCCACGCCGTCAGCACCCTGGCCTGTTGTCTCATGGGCTGATCGTGCCGTGCTAGGAAAGGTTGTTCCCAGGAGTCACTCCCATCCAGCTTGTGGGTCCCTCCAGGGCAGGGCCTGCGAGTCAGGCCTGTGGCTCAGTCTGCCCTCCAGCAACGTTCGCGGTCGAAGCTCAGGAATGAACACGGATGCCAAGGTTCCCTCCACAGAGCTTGGAGAAAGGGGGTGATGCTCCGTCACTCCGATTGCCCAAGCCCGGCCCAGGACGTGATAAGCCCATGAGGCACCACCAAGACATGGGGCTGAAACCCAAAGGGTGTGACTCAAGCCTGCTGCGGTCAGCCTAGCTCCAGGCTGGCTTGGATGACTGCAGGACAGCAGGAGCCTCCAGGGTGAGACATCCTCCCAGCCCAGAACCCCCAACCAGCCCTCCTGCCTAAACCCATGTCCCATGGCCCTGGCTGCAACGACTGAGCTTTGTGGTCTAATGTGAGGGTGCCCAGGCTAGCCCACAGCTGGTACCACTCCGCTTTTCCCCGCTGTGGCCCCAGGCAGTGCCTCCAGGGCACACCCAAAGGACAGAAAAGGACTCCAGAGAGGCCCAGAGAGAGAGAGAGAGAGAGAGAGAGAGAGAAAGAGAGAGAGAGAGGTGGGGCTCTTCCCAGCACCCCCTAGAGAATGGGTCCCAGGTTCAGCCACCCACAGACACACAAGGGTTAACTGTTCTGCACCAAGTTGCCAAGCGATTGCTATCAGCTGGCCTGAGAGCAAGCTGGGCTGGCCCCAAACCACAGGCAGACACCAAGTCTTGGACTGCCCCTTCCTCTCCCTACTCCTGCCCCTGGCTATTCTCCCACCAGGCGGCCCACTCCCCCTGGCCTGCAGCCAGCCAGGGCTTTCACCAAGCTTCCCTCCTCACAGAGGCGGCAGTGGCAGCGGCAAAACAAGCAAGCCGGCCGCCAGCGGCTGCACCGGTCCTGGCTCAGTGAATAACCGCAAAATGCACGCCTCAGCGAAGGCTGATCCAGTGCACAAATCCAGGAGTGAGGGCTGCAGAGCTTCCAACAGGGCCCCCGCAATGAGGGGAGGGGGCGGACTGGGCAGTGATCCGCAAAGGTTACCTCCAGGAGGGCCTGCAGGGCCCAGGGCACGGAGAGGGAAGGGCAGCTCTCGCTGGAGCCCCTCCCCTGGGACCCCAGGAGTGGCCAGGAGCAGGCCCCCGGGGAACCGCCCCGAAGCGCCGCGCACCGCCCTCCACCCTGCTCCATGCCCAGCCACATCGCTGTGGACACTCGGCCGTTAGTTTCCCAGTACGGAAAAGTGGGGTTAAGGCAGCCCGGCAAACCGAGGGGCACAAAGTGACGGCTACCGGGCCCTGAGCCAGCGACTCCTCACTCAGCTCATCCAGCGCCCAGTGCAAACTGACCGAGGCCCACAGCTAAGTGACTGATTTGCAAGGGCTCAACACTTAGCCCTGTGCTCTATACACGGTCCCCACCTTGACAAGGACAGCCGACAGCTGGCTTCTCGTTCCTTTGACACTACACCTAAAAACTGTAGGGACACCCTCAGGTGTGTGGGCAGCCGCCCCGGGGCCACCACCTGCCCCACGCTGCCAGGCCACATCACAGCCCTCTACGTGTGGCCCCCTTCAAAGCAGGAGAACCTTTCTTTCAAGCTCCATCTGCCGCGGAAGGGACTGTCCGGAAGTGGCTGCACTCAGACCTCAGGGCTGAGACGGCTTTGAAAGAGCACCCGATGCAATCTCCTTTCCCCAGGGGGAAAACGGGCCCAGCAGGGGAGCCACAGCTCAGAGCCAGGGGCCTAGGACCAGGCGAGAAAGGAGCCAGCAGCTGAGAAGTGGCCACAGTGGCAGCCACGGCCGAGCCAGAACGGGGAGGGGGAAGGGGAGGGCGTCTCCACTCCAGCTCAGCCTGCCCTCGGCCCCGCCCCCTCGCGGGGACACAGAAATTGATGTCCCTTCCAAGCAGCACACAGTGTGACAGCAGCAGGCAGCTGGAGAGCCACACCCCCTCCGCCACTCATGGGAGCTCCCGTGCAGGGACATCAGGCACTTCGGGCAGGGCAGTTCCACAGGCGACGGCCACCCAGAAGGCCCATGAGACACCCCCTTTTCTTCAGTCCCTGCCCCAGCATTGATTTGCCAGTGGTTAATGTGGGAAAAAAATCTCTTGATGCCCAAGGAGGTCAAAACCATCATCTCCTGTTCCACGCGTGGAAATGAGTTCTTCCAAGGCGGAGACATGTACAGAGGCAGGCGTGCAATGCCGTGGATACCCACTAGTGTCCGTGCTCCAGAACTACAGGCCCTCACCACGCCCACAGCCAGCGTGTTCAAACTGGCAGGGAGGAAGAAGAATTTCAGTCAAGTCGACTCTGGGCTCCCCACCTCGCCTCCAGGCCTGGAAACCTGCAGAACCCACACTTGCATCTAGTTGTGTGTCCTTCACGGGTGCTTATGCGGCTCACTGGCCTTCCCAGACCTGCTGCTCGTTCCAGAATCACGACCCAGCATGCACACCCAGCTCCCAAGCCTGGGGGCGCCCAGGAAGGCCCCTGCTTCTCCCCTCTCCAGAGGCCACCAAGCACCTAGAACCCACTTGTATACATCTCCCACGCCCTCCTCGTGGTCCCTACTACTGCTGCTGTGGCTCGCTCTCTCTTCCAGCCTTACTCCCCTGCAGGTTGCCATCTGCAGGACCTTTCACAAGCCCCTTGCAGCTTTCAGAAGCAGGGCCAACCTTCAGGAAGCTCACCTGGACTTGACCTTGTCCATCAATGCCCCACCACATACATTAGCCGGGCCAAGCACACAACAGTCCTTAGTGGGCAGGCCAGGCCACCATCCTGGGCTCACAAGCCTCCCCCAGCCCAGAGTGCAGCATGCCTACCTCGCAGGCTCTGGGCCCTGACCAGGCCCTATTCAGGCTCCTGTATCCAGCCTCTCAGGACGCTCAATGCCAATTCCAAGTCACACACCTGTGTCCTGAGACTGCTCTCTCGGCAGGAGGGACGCCACCACTTTCCTCTGGGTGTCCCTGTGCCCAGCTGGGCCAGGCCTGTGGTACACTTTCCCAGGCAAAAAGCCAGGAGGTGGCTTCTTATGTTCAGGCTGAGCTGGGGGAGGGGGGGGAGCATGGGGAGGCAGCTAGGTTCATGTTGCTGCTGGGGTCCTCTTGCCCCACAGAAGCCAGAACGGTCCCGATGGTGTGTATAGTGGGGAGTGCCGGTGCCCTTACAGGATCTGATTCAGAAACTCCGCCTTTGCATACAGCTGAGCATCTAGGGGGTTCCCTAATACAGAAAGGGGCTATTTCTGGGTGAGGTCTCGTAGGCCCACCCTCATCATCTGAGCTCGCAGCATAGGTCTGACTGGCAGAGCAAGGGGTATGGGCAGGTCAGGCCTGCTCTCTGGATCCACGCTTTTCAGGATCACAAAGTCCCCATAGAATGTCCAGGAGGAACAAGGTCTGCAGGAGCCAGGCCACAAGCACCAGCCCCATGGCTGTTCCCCTAGGACAGCGGTCACTACAGCTTTCCACTGTGCACTAATCAGTAAAAGTCTTTGGCTTCTCTGTCCCATGCTGATCCAAACACTAGGTATTAGTGCTATGGGCTGATCTGTATCCCCCACAATCCATAGGTTCTTTTTTTTTTTTTTAAGATGTATTTACTTATTTGAGAGGCAGAGAGAAAGATCTATCTTCTACCTGCTGGTTCACTCTCCAATGACCGCTGGGCCAGGCCAACGCCACAAGCTTCTTCCAGGTCTCCCACATGGGTGCAGGGTCCCAAGCACTTGGGTCATCTCTGCTGCCTTCCCAGGCCATTAGCAGGGAGCTGGGTGGTAATCAAAGCAGTGGAGAGTGGCTTAACCTTCTATGCCACAGCGCTGGCCCCAGTTGGTAGGTTCGAACCCCCAGCTCCTCAAATTAGGTTGGTGTTCGGATAGAGCCTTTGAAACAGCATTAAGCTAAAATGAGGCCATTAGGATGGAAGAGGAAATGTGGACCCAGGTTTGTAGAGGGAAGATCACGTGGAGATAGAGAGAGGAAGTCCTCCACAAGCCCAGGAGAGACCCCACGACTCTCTGGGCTCCGCATCCCCACCTCCCCAGTGCACAGGAAATAGCCCCTGTCGTTTGGGCCAGCAGTCTGGGGAACTTTGTTCCCGTACATACAGCAAGGCTTAGTCTCTCTCAAACCCACCTGTGGTCTGCAGGTGCGAGGAAGCCCCGGCCCAGCTGGAGTTAGCTGCGGCAAGCAGGGGTCTGGGCATCTCCCGCGGCGGGCCCCAATAGAAGGGGTAGGTGAAGCCAGAGCCCCCAGCACCAGAGGCGCAGGCGTGTCACAAAGCCACTTTTGGAATCGCACTGGCTGCTCTGGGCAGCCTGTCCCAAACTCCCTGATCCGTGGGAGCACCTGCGGCCCCGGTCCCGCCCTGGGAGCTGCGTAACCCAGAGTTGGTTTCTGTCCGGCAGGTCAGGTGATGCTCACTCGGGATCAGGCCGTTCCACACCAGGAGGAAGGGCGGTCGCTGGAATGCGCGCGCCCCGTCCTCGCTGAGGACGCCAGAGCACCCGCGGCCGGCCCCCGCCTCTCGCCCCGCTCCGCCCCGCACGGGTTTCCGGCAGCACGCAACGAGCCCCCAGCCCCGCTTCTGTGGTCGCTCCGTCCGCGCCCCGCGCGCGTTCTCTGAATCAACAGGGTGGAAGAAATGCCTCCTGTCTCTCTCCCAACCAACTGCAGAGTCCCAGACAGACGCCCTTTTCTCGTGGGTGTGGCCCGCCCGGGACTTTCCTCCTAGGCTTTGGGCCCGAACCTGAACCCCAGGTTCCCCTCTCCCACTGCTGCCGGACCGGAGCTGGGAAGGATGAGAGACGCGGCGGGAACCGAGTGCGCGCCCCAGCTCCCCGGCGGACCTCCGGGTACTTCCCAGCCGCGCTCGACTTACCCAGGCCGGCAGGTGCTGGCCCAGCAGCTCGCGGCTGATGAACTGGCGTTCGTTGTCCAGAAATTCGAAGGCTGCAGCCAGGCGCCCGAGCTTGCCGCGGCGGTTCCTGCGCCACCACATCCACAGCAGGGCGCCGAGCAGCAACCAGGTTATGCTGAGCCCCAGGTAGCCGGCCAGGTAGACGGGCGCCAGGTAGAACAGCACGCGAGCCACGAAGGTGTAGAGCTCTGGCAGCAGCTGGCGGGACAGGCGCAGCTCGGTGCCGGGTTCCCGCTCTGTCCCCGGGGCGCTCGGGACGCCAGGGGCGCCAGGCTCCTCCGCTCGCATCTCGTCGCCGCCGTCTTGCCCTCTGCAAGCGCTTCACCCGAGCTTAGGCCCGCGCGTCCCTAATCCTGGTCACATCTGTCCTCCGAGCGCGAGGACCAGGGCGCGGCGCAGCTCCCGCCCTGCCGGCACCAGCGGCAGCGTCTCGGCGCTCCGAGCTCTGGCGCGCACCGTGGCGCGGCGCCCGGGAGTACACCGAGCCGGGCGGGGCCCGTCGCTCCCGACCTCTCCGCCCCTAGGGGCGGGCCCAGGTTAAAAAGGGCCGGGATGGGCCGCCGACCTGGCTCCTGCCGGGTTCCAAAGGGGAACCCACCCTGGAGTGGAGGGCGCCCTCCGACCCCAGCGTCCGATGCAGGAATTCCCAGGAAGGGCGCAGTCGCCACTCGGGGTGGGCCAAGTGCTGCTGCAGGCAGTCTGTGACTCACCGAGGCTGTATACAGCTGGCTTATCGTGGACGAACACACCTGAAACCTGTTTGCTACACCCAGGCTACGCTCAGTAGGTAGTCTAGACTCTCCACGGAGCATCGGAGGCCCTGCCGCGGGCTCCGAGCCTCTGCAAAACCGTGGCTGCACCCAGCCTCACAAACACGAGTTCAGGACCCCTCCTGCGCCCGCTCTCTCTCTACACACTGCGCATGGCTCCAGGCTGGACGCCAGGCTGTCCTGCCCATTGCCCCGGGGCGGGCGGGCGCTCAGAAGGGCAAGCCACTGGAGAATGACAAGAGAAACCAAGAGCAACCCTGGGGGGTGCTTGGGTGTGCGTGGGAAGCACATGGTTTCTCTCTAACCTGCGTGCTGGATAGAAATGCTGGCTGCAATGAAAATGCTTTTCTTGTGGTCAGTCGGCCTCGGCCTCTCCTCTGTATTTCTTGGCATTTCGGCACGCTGCCGAAACAGAGAGGGGGAGCCCCCCAACTTGAAATCCCACTGCTTTTCAGAGTCACACCCGCACAACCCTGTGAAAGGCTTTCAGAAGTCCTGAAGACACAAAGCTGTTACACTTCATTCACTCCCGTGTATCCCAAAGAGTCCATGAAACCCTCTTCTCAGAACACCTGAAGTAAAGAAACAATGTATGACTGGGGGCCCGGGCTGTGGCGTAGTAGGTTAAGCATCCCACCTGCAGCGCCGGCATTCCATATGAGCACCGGTTCGAGTCCCCGCTGCTCCACTTCCAATCCAGCTCTCTGCTTAATGCACCTGGAAAGCAGTAGAAGATGGCCCAAGTTCTTGGCCCCCGTCACCCATGTGGGAGACCCAGAAGAAGCTCCTGGCTTCGGATCTGCCTGGCTCCAGCCGCTGCGGCCGTTTGGGGAGTGAACTAGCGGATGGAAGACCTCTCTCTCTCCCTGTAACTCTGCCTCTCAAGTAAATTAATAAATTTGGGGGGGCAGTATGTCTGGGACTCAGGGAGGGCTCCTGGGGGCTGCGGTGGACTGGGAGCTGCCAGGACTCTGTCCCCGCATCCCTGCCTCCTCCGCCTCTCTGGCTGCAGGGCAGGACACAACAGCTCCCTCCCGGTGTCCAGGTTGACAGGGCTCAGGTATCCCCCTCCAGGGAGCCTGCCTGGACCCTTACCTTGTGCCAACTCCAGGTTCCTGGAGGGAGGGTTCAACATCACCAAAACGGACGTCCAAGATGAGCTGTCACCATCCTGCAGGCTGCGCCAGCCGTGGGGCCTGTTCCCGTCTCTGACGCACCAAGCGTCTTCACACCTTAAGGCATTTTTGTGCTCGCCATTCCCTGCCCCTGGAATGTCGCTCTCCTGAATCTTCTCTGAAGTACACTAGGGTGGTGGGATTATGGTTTGATTTTTCCCACCCTTTTCTAAACCTTATCTGTTATGTCATTACATTATTTCCATAAATCACCTATCCGAGAACACTGAAAATGTGGCATTATAACTTCATACCCCCCTGGAGTTCCAGTCTGTGCCTAGCACTTTGTAGCTGTGGTTTCCCTCGACCTGAGACTCTTACTGCCACAGCCAACAGAAGACATTGCACGAGAGCAATGCCTTCCAGAGCCTTTTCCTGAACACCCCTCTTTAAAAAAAAAAAAAAAAGATTTATTTATTTATTTGAAAGAATTACACCGAGACTGAACACCTTTTTTTTTTTTAAAAAAAAAAAAAAAGGCGGGGTTACACAGAGAGAGAAGGAGATGCAGTGAGAGAGAGAGGTCTTCCATCTACTGGTTCACTCACCAGTTGGCCACAACGGCCAGAGCTGTGCAGATCCGAAGCCAGGAGCCAGGAGCTTCTTCTGAGTCTCCTATGTGGGTGCAGGGGCCCAAGGACTTGGGTCATCTTCCACTGCTTTCCCAGGCCATAGCAGAGAGCTGGATCAGAAGTGGAGCAGCCGGGACTCAAACCGGTGCCCATATGGGATCTCGGCACTGCAGGTGGCGGCTTTACCCGCTACACCGCAGCACCAGCCCCTTCCTGAACGCTTTTAAGAGCTCATCATAAACCAGCTCTCCAACAGTAGCTTGGAGGTCCATTGGCCACTGTTTGGGGTTGAGTTGTGTCTCCCCCTCCCTGCCCTGCAAAGCTCCGCTGAAGTTCTAACCTCAGCACCTGCGACTGTGACCTTCCCTGGAAATAGGGTCTACATCCACTGTGTGGCATGCTTATGAAGAAAGGGAGATGGGAGGCAGAGGAGACCCAGGAAGGGAAGAAGGCCAGGTGAGGACAGAAGGGGACACCATGATGACACAGCTCTGAGTGCCAGGGATGCTGGCATCCCCCGAGGCCAGGGGAAGCAAGGAAAGACGCGTCCCTACAGCCTGAGAGAGCCTGGCCTTGCCCTTGGCCCTGACTGCCTGCCTGCAGAACTGGAGGGGAACAAGCTCCTGTTGTCTCACACCACTCAGCCTTGGAAACAGACCCGGCCACCTAGTGAGCACCAGGCCCGCAGGAGGCTCAGAGGAGACAGGAGCCCTGCTCTCCCAGAGCGCCTAAAGACAGTGCTCCGAAGACAGGCAGCAGGTGGCGTGAAAGAGTGGCTGGTGCGGGTGTGGGTGCAGGGCGCTTTCAGACAAGAGGGTTGGAAAAGGGCTCTCTGGGGAGCTGATGTTTGTGCTGAGAACTAAATAAGAAAGATTAAAAGTGCGCATACACCTTCGTCCTTTTAAAAAAAACTTAGCACGCCATAAAATCATCTCTCCTAGGGAACAGAGAGACAAACACCCCCTGCCACCTAGGCATCAGTCAGTTTTGCTTCTGCACGTTCACGTGGAGCCCACAGAACTGTCTGGGTGTCCTCTCTGTCAGTGGCTCTGTCTCACCTGTCCGTAAGCCTCAGTCTGACCTGGGTGCACAGGCGGGAGCTAGGAGGCGTGCAGGGGCAGAGCTCGTTTTGGGAGCCTTTCCCTGACTTGAAGTTGAGAAGCAAGCGCTGTCCGATCTAGGGCGGCGGGAGAGGTCCTCAGGGCGCTGCATGCGGTCATCTCCCCATATCACAGGGTGCTGGGGTGGGGGCGGGGGGGAGAGACCCACTGCAACGCCGTGGATGCTGACGGGAAGCTGTCAAGGAGTTTAGTTTTGTCTGTGTTGTTTGATTTTCCACTACAAGAATGCATTTGTGTATTATCTGTATGATTAACTTTTCTGCTGGGCAACATTCATTTAGCACTGTGTTCACTGACGTAGCCGTGTGTAAGTGTGCAGCTCAGCTGCGCCGGCACGCTGGGGTCCTGCAGCCCTCACCGCTCCATCTCCTGAGCTCTGTCATCGTCATCTTGCAAAGCTGAAACTTTGCACGCAATTAACAAGAAGCTCCTATTCCTGGGGCCCCCAACTCTGGGCAATCACTGGTCTACTTCCTGCTGTATGGTTTTGATTATTCTAGATACCTCATATTAGTGGCATCAACAGTGTTTGTCTTTTTTTTTTTTTTTCAAATATGTGTTCAAATATTTGATTTTCTTGAACTGGTTGAAATGACTTTCCTCTTCTTGGTGGCATTGTATAGTCCCTAGAAGTTACTTGGACTTGATAATTAATTTATTTATTTGAAAGGCAGAGTTACAGAGAGGCAGAGTAGAAAGAGAGAGAGAGGTCTTCCATCTTCTGGCTCACTCTCCCAAATGCTTGCAACAACCATGGCTGTGCCAGGTTGAAACCAGGAGCCTAGAACTCCATCCAGGTCTCCCATGTGGGTGCAGGGGCCCAAACACTTGGGCCACCTTCCACTGCCTCCCCGGGCACATTAGCAGGGAGCTGGATCGGAGCAGCCAGGATTCAAAGCACCACTCTGTTAGGAGACACCAGCATCACAAACTGCTTAATCCATAGCGCCGTAAGGCCAGTCCCAGTGTTTGTCTTTTGTTGGGACTGGTTCATTTCACTAAGTATAATGTCCTCCAGGTTCACACATGTTCTAGCATGTCAGAATTTCCTTCCATTTGAAGATGAATATTTCACTGTCAGTGTGGTTTCCCAGCCTTGTTGGCAAGCTAATACATATGTGTTCCACACATCTCCCATCTACGCTTTGGTGATGAGCAGGCACTCTCTTCTGCCCTCAGCCAGCAGTCCTCATCAGCACAGAACCTCAGGGTATGCCTCTCACACAAGGGTCGGGAATAGACTTCAGGTGTCTCTGGTCTAGGATCTTTTTAAAAAAGATCTTTAGGCCCGCACCCCAGCTCACTAGGCTAATCCTCTGCCTGCAGCGCCAGCACCCAGGGTTCTAGTCCCGTCGGGGCACCGGATTCTGACCCGGTTGGTCCTCTTCCAGTCCAGCTCTCTGCTGTGGCCCAGGGAAGGCAGTGGAGGATGGCCCAAGTGCTTGGGCCCTGCACCCGCATGGGAGACCAGGAAAAGCACCTGGCTCCTGGCTTCGGATCGCTGCAGCGTGCTGGCCGTGGCAGCCATTTGTGGGGTGAGCCAACAGAAGGAAGACCTTTCTCTCTGTCTCTCTCTCTCACTGTCTAACTCTGCCTGTCAAAAAAAATCTTTAAATATATTTTAAAAATCTTTAAAAAAATATTTTAAAACTTTAGGGGCTGATGCTGTGGCATAGTGGGTAAAGCCGCTGCCTGCGGTGCCGGCATCCCATATGGGCACCAGTTCAAGTCCTGGCTGCTCCACTTCCGATCCAGCTCTCTGCTATGGCCCCAGAAAGCAGTAGAAGATGGCCCAAGTGCTTGGGCCCCTGCACCCATGTGGGAGACCCAGAAGAAGCTCCTGGCT